TACCATCAGTACCATATGTTCACCTCTGTTCATCAGTGTTCTTTTATGGGCTCCTGTCCACCCTACGACTCTGTTCTTGAATATTCTGTTCTTATTCTACAGAGAGAGGGGCTGAGTTCAGATCCCTCCCAATCACCACTGTTTCCAGGACACCAAAACCTTTCTCCAAGCCAAATTCCTCTAATTTTCAAATCAAAACTTAGATAATAAGCTTTATCTGTTAGAATAATGAAATTCTTGAATTATAGAACTACTACCTTATTTCAGACAAAAGGGAGATTTTATAGGTATAAATATGTCTGTCATCAAAAAGAAAAATAGAACTAAGACGGTTGTAAGTCCAAGTGGAGATGGTAGATTTTTTAAACACACTCCCCAGGACTTAAACAAAGGACTTATTTGTGTATGGGAAAGTGTGATTTACCAAGGAAGGGGGCTCACTGTCCTATCTGAAACATCCTTTTGAAAGACACCTGCAGTACTATTATGCAACGTAAAACACCGGGTCATTTAGGACTCCGTCAATCAAGTGATTGATTCCTCCAGATACGGCTGGTGAATAAAGAAGGCACTTCTCAGTTTCAGATTGAAAGTCACACTCCACCTGCTCCAAGCCCTGGGGTTTTGAGAAAAGGAGAGGTTAACCTAATCTACTTCCATGCTAAAAGAAACATTTGGTTCTCAAAGTCAGACTTTAGAAATTCTTTCATCCAAGCCGAAGCTGATTCTCAGGAATGTCTAAAAACACTTCTGTGTTTCTTTATCTCTGCATCATAGGATCATTATTTGTAGACAGATGTGGTAGCCAATACCATATTTAAAAAATAAAACACTTACGTTTCTGAAACTACAGCTAAACAACCAAACTCTAAGCCTTTCTGAATGCTTTTGCTCGTCCATTTAGTTCCCCCTACCATGCATTATAAAAATTGTCAGACAGCAAATTGAAAGAATCCTTCCATCAATACCTGTATACTCATCACCCAGTCTCTACCATTAACGTATATTAGACTTCCATTCCTTACGTACCTATCTGTTCACTCCTGCACACGACATACATCATCTTACCTATTTTAAGGCATTTTAAAGCAGATTACAGACCTCTGTCTCCCTCTACTTCACCATGCATATGATTACTAGAGTTCAATAATGGTCACTTTATCTGAATGTGAAATTCACATACAATGAAATACACAAAAGTTTACCCATGACATTTCATGGCTTGATAACTCATTTCTTTTTAGCAATGAATAATATTTTCCATTGTCTGGACAGTCTATTAATTCACACTGAAGAACATTTTGGTTGCTTCCTAGTTTTGGCAACATGAGTAAAGCTGCTATAAACATCTGTATTCAGGTTTTTGTGGACATTAAGTTTTCAGTTCTTCTGTGTTAATACTAAGGAGCATAATTGCTGGATTATAACGTAAGAGTATGTTTAGTTTTGTCAAACTTTCTCCAAAGTTTCTGTATTATTTTGTATTCTACCAATGAGTGTGAGTTCTTTTTCTCCACATCCTTGCTGGCATTTGGTGTTGTCAGTGTTCTAGATTTTGGCTATTTTAATAGATGTGTATTACTATCTCACTGTTGTTTTAATTTGCATTTCTCCAATCACGTATGCTGTGGGACATTTTTTAGATGCCTATTTGCCATCTATATATCCTCTTTGGTGAGCAAATGTTTCTTAAACCCAGTATTACATTAGAATTAGTTAGAACCTTTTGGTTCTTCAAAATAGTGTGTCTTTCTCCACTGAGACTTCCGTCTTTTCATTTGTTACAAGCATGCTTTTCCTCATCTCACTTATTTTAGTCATAATCCTGCTTTAAAGTCTTTAAAGAACATGGCTGTTTCTGGTCACTCTCCAAAGAAACAGAAACTTCATCTATTTAGTTTTGAAATCAAATACCTAAAGATATAAGCTAGTAATACAAAAAGCAATGAATATATCCCTTAAATTATTTCTAAATATTTAATAGCTGCTATATGTGACCAGTAAAGAAAAAATGATAGGTTCCATATGATCCCACAGTAAGATCCTTCTGCTACAGCTGCTTTCAAATATCTGAGAACTTGGTTCCCATGGGTAACTATATTTTTCTGTGATGGTTAGTTTTGTGTCACCTTGGCTAGGCTGTAGTACTACTGCTGTACAATACTGTGTGGCTGTAAAGATACTCTATAGATATGGTTAATGGCTGCAATTAGTTGGTTTTAACTAATTTAAATTCAGTAGTATTGGTGGGCCTCATTCAGTTGGCTGAAAGCATTAAGAGCAGAACTAAAGTTTCACTAAAGAGAAAGAAATCCGACTTGTGGACTGCAGATTCAGCTCGTACCCAAGCTTTTCTAGCCAGTCTACCCTAGAAATGTGTTAACACTTAAATAGACATACGTATAAAGAATACATAGACGGGAGCCATCATCTTTGGCTGTAGATATTGAGGAAAGTTTCCAGGGAAGGTTACATTGGGACTTAATGGAATTTGAAGGTTGTAGAGATGTTCTTCAGGCAAGAGATGGTAGGAAGGCAGTTTGCAACTAGGTACTTACATATGCAAGACAAAACGGTGTTAAAAAAGAACTCTGTGCGTATTGGAAAAGTCACTACAATGTGACTGAAACATAAGGGCAAGAAATGGGATTGCAATGACAGATTAAAACCTGGTAAGACATTGCCTTGAAGGTCCTGCTAAGGATTTTGAATTTTGTTCCCATGGTTTGTTAGGAAACCCCAGAAGGCTGTGGGATAGGGTGATGATGTGACCAGATCTGTGTAAATGGGTAATGATTTGGCAGGGGCAGAACAAAAGGTAGGGATATCGGTAATGCTGTTTATCCCAGTGTATGGATTTGTAGTTTTTATTTAGATTGGTTCTCACTGTCTCTCTAGAGTCAGTTTCAGGCCCTTTTGACCAGCTTGGTCTCCCACCAAAGCCCAATTTCTCCATCTTTTAGAAATACCGGGCAATGGGTTAAGCCCAAAGCAACGAACAGGACTGGAGGAATGCTGTTCAGGTTAAGTTTAAATAGTAAGCAGAGGCTAAGGTTTAAGCCAGGTAGGTCTGGGCATGGAAATTCCAGCATTTGGACAGGTCAGGGCATCAGAGATAATGATGTTTGAGAGCAAGTCACACAGAAGTAACCTCTGATCCTAGAGCAAAGATTTGTTCACTCTCTGCCCTCTGCTAGGCTTCCAGATCTGCATGGTGAGAACAAGGTTCTGGGGGATGCGGCTGCAGCCAGAATTTATAAATTGCACTCTGCGTTTTATTAAGAAAAGTGTAGAGTTACCAGGACTTCCGGGTGATCCTTACATTATTCATGCTTACACAGAGCACCCTAGATTTCTCCAAGGCTGCGGAAATTATACCCGAGAAGAGCACATACTCTTTTGTATGTTATCAGCAATCATGACATAGCCCCAATGAGAGCGTGATCACTGTGGAAGTGGGACAGCATGGGAAGAAATTAAGTGGAATTACACAGGAAGTGTCCCGCTTTCAATATTTTTCCAATGAGCAGAATGAAGAAGGTACCAATTTTCATTCTCAGTTCCCATGAGGAATTATTCTCCCCATTGAAAGCATCAAAACCCCTCAAAGAGAAAAACACAAGGTACACCTGCTTAAAGAGTGAAGAGCAGGCCCTAGCATACATACGCTGGAGGTAACACGTATGCATAGGAATCAGGTGAAAAAGTCTGTACCCAAAGTGCGCACTGAAGGGGGACTTAAGCAGAGCACAGACTGATAGAGAGACTGACATTTCGTGGCTGAAGGGCAAGGGACCAGAACATCAAGGGACACGTGGAAGAAAAAGAGAAGGAAGTTGACCATGCCAGGGGAAGAGAACTCAGTGCCTAGAGCTAAAAGCCTCCTGTCTCTGTGCCAGCGGGAGGCTTCACGTGGCCCACGGCCCAGTCTCTGACCTTGAAGGGGCACCCCTGCACCAGTCACTAGGGTAGGCTGCCAAAGTGCCGGCAGGGCTAGACCTCACCGACTACTGCTTTATGCCAGTGTTCTCTGTGAGTCTTTGCAGCCAGCACGTTCTACCAGCTTCCCGCTAGTGCTGGCTGTCCAGAGCAAAGCCCCATCGTCGTTTCTGCTTAATTCATATTTATACCCCCTTACTGCGCTCTCTTTCAAACGTTCCCAGTAAGACCTCTGGAACCCTGAACCCTCCATCATAAATAAATTCTCCCATATTAAGCTTATCATACATTAATCCTTCCGCGCTTCACGGTCCCTCCCCTTCATGTATTGTGGATTCTGGCCCCACATAAATCTCTGTCACGAGAATGGCGTTAATTTCCACGCTGACGAGCCATCTAGCATCTAACACCAGTAGCCCTTGAGGCCTTCACCTCTTTTCCATCTCACCCTACCTGGTCATTCACTCTTGTGGCCACTCCTTAGAACTTGCCATCACCTGGAAAGTTCCTCCTCTGAAATAATACTAAGTTTCAATTTCTCACATAAACCACCTTCCAGGTCCCTCAGTATCTTAATTCTGGTCTTAAGTGTCCTTCAACCTATTTGGTACCTTGGCTCATTCATATCTTTCCATTCTCTTTTTCTACCCAACTCAGGTCCCATAAAAGACATCAAACTACTCTCTCATTGGTTCTTTTTTCCTCTCATCTTTTACTTCAGCATAAACCTATCTTGGGTTCAGTATTTTAATTTTTCATTTTTTTTCTCCACTTCTATACTTGCATTGTTTAGTGCTTCCAGAAGAAGCAGGCAGCCACAGACTGACAGCTCCACACACTCACGCTCTCCTAAACGAGCCAGGAGGGGCTCATCAGTCTCCTTATCAGGTCTTGGTCGTCTCCTTTTTCTCTTTCTCACTGATGCTCTTTCAAACTTCCACTGATCTCAAGTCCCCTACCCAACACCCACCTCCTTCATTCTCAGAAATGATCTTGTGCCTTTCAAGAGTTCTGGAAAACCGAGTCTTCTCACTTGCTCCACATTCACACCAGCTGCTCACCTGCAGTGTCAGAGACTGAGCTGTCCTTGCTCCTGATCACAGCCAAGCGCTCATCTCAGTCCTGAGTACATCCTCGTCTAGTCATTCTCAGTCAGTCCACTTCCCTCCTGAATCACTCTTTTATTCCTTCTCCTGAGCCAAGAGACATTTTAAAGTAAAGTTTTTCCCATCCTAAACGAGTGAGATTATCTCTTCAATCTTATATATCCTTTTAATGACTGTCCAATCTCTCTCTCCTCCAGATTCAAACGTCAAACTCCTCATCACACTGCCACTGTGCTACTAAAACTAGCAAGAGCTAGTTATCAATCTTTGAATTGTTAAATACCTTGTATATTTTTCAGTGATCCTAGAATAGGTGTGTGTTTATCTTCTATCCACACCTCTTCACAAAACTTCAAATTAATATCCAGTACTAGAAAACTCCTCAGCGTGCCCCACAAGCACCTCAGTGTCAGCTGGTGAGAAAGTGAACTTATTAACCCTCTGCTTGAGCCAGATACCCCTTCAGTTTTGCCCATCACAGGTGCTGGCACTGCCATTCACCCAGTCACTGAAGAGCAAAACTTAGAAGGTGCTTTTGACTAACCCACAATCAAGACTTGCCAATTTTCCATCCTCACTATTTCCGGGATGTGCTCTCTCTTTTCTACCTGAAATAGCTATCCACATCATCTTTTACCATAACACCTGAGCAGTCCATCTGTGGGACTGTTGACTCACTCTCACCTTGCCTGCTACAGTCCAGACTGCAGAGTGACCTCGCTGCAGATGCAGATGAAATAATGCCATTTCCGTGATTAAACACTTTTCAGTAGTTCCTCATTTCCTCCAGATGTCATTCACTGTACCCTTCATGATCTAGCCCTGGAACGGAATTTCCCCCCAGCTTCCAGCTTACTACTTTATCATTCAGCAAGACCAAATTGCTCATAGCTCCCCCTACACCACATTCCTGTAACTTTGATTAATTATACTGAGCTCTCTACTGAAATACTTTCCCCTGACACTTGTCTTTGCCTAACTCACTTTCAAACTTTTGATTCCAAATTCTGTATTACTTCCCTTAGAGTGGCTTTCCAGAATGACTTATTGTGTTTTCATATATCCTATACACATCTCGACTAAAAGGGCCATGGTCAAGACAACCGATGAACTCTATTTTGCAAAATACAGGAATCAATTAACTCTTACATTCTGCAGCCTCTCCTTTTTTGAAATCCCATCTTCTCTCAGTTTCTGTGACATCAGTCTTTTATTTTTCCTCTGATGCTGCTCAGCTGCTCTTGTAAGTCGCTCCTCCACTGCCTGCAGTGTGGATGCTGGAATGCCTCAGAGCTCCATCTTCAGCCCTCTCCTCTTCTGTCTCTAAGTCTCTGTCTGAGCAGTATCATCACAACGTTGAGATACCAAGTCAATAACACCTCTT